TTGGGGAAAATAGACCTTAACATTCGGGAGTTGTAGTTTATTTATTTATTTTATTTATTATTCAAACTTATATGCCGCCACTCCCCTGGGGCTCGTAGCGGCTTACAAGAATGACTAAAATCTAACACAATTTAAAAACAATTTAAAACGATTTAAAAACAGCAATATCAAAAGTCAAAGGCCTGTCGAAATAGGTATGTCTTACATACCTATTTCCTGCGGAAAGCTGATAAGTCCCGCAAGGCACGGACTTCAGGTGGCAGAGTATTCCAGAGTGATGGTGCCACTGCTGTAAAGGCTCTGAATCTGGTTGCTGTTAGACGCAAGGTCTTGGCACTGGGAATTTCCAATAGATCTTGGTCCTCAGAACGGAGGGATCTCTGGGGTTGGTAGGGGGTGAGGCGGTCCCTCAGGTACATCGGTCCCAGACCATGCAAGGCCTTAAAGGTGAGTACCATCACTTTGAAAGTGATCCGGTGCTCAATTGGTAACCAATGCAGCTGTAGTAAGATTGGTGTTATGTGGCTTCTTATCGGAATTCCCGCTGAATTTATAGTTCACCTACAATCAAGAGCATTCTGAACTGCACCAACAATGGAATTGAACCAATCTTGGCACACAGTACTCCCATGACCATCAGAAAATACTGAAAGGTTTTGGTAGGCATTGACCTTGAGCTTGGGTGTTGTAGTTCATCTATACTCAGAGAGCACTGTGGACTCAAACAATGATGGATCTGGACCAAACTTGGCATGAATACTCTATATGCCCAAATGTGAACAGTGGTGGAGTTTGGGGAAAACAGATCTTGACATTTGGGAGTTGTAGTTGCTGGGATTTATAGTTCATCTACAATCAAAGAGCATTCCGAACCCCATCAATGATAGAATTGAGTCAAACTTCCCACACAGAAACCACATGACCAACAGAAAATACTGTGCTTTCTGATAGTATTTGGCAACCCCTCTGACACCCAGCCCCCAGGTTGAGAAACGCTGCCTTAGAATCTTCTAAGATAGTAGTTTTCAAGCTGTGGGTACCCAGGTATTTTGCCAGCTTTGAACTGGGTTATGTTGTCTGTGTAGATCAGTGGTTCTCAACTATCAGTCCTCAGGTGTTTTGACCTACAACTCCCAGAAATCCCAGCCAGTTTACCAGCTGTTAGAATTTCTGGGAGTTGAAGGCCAAAACAACTGGGGAACCCTTGAGTTTTGGAGCTGTGGTTCACCTACATCCAGAGAGCACTGTGGACTCAAACAATGAGGGATCTGGATCAAATTTGGCATGAATCCTCAATATGCCCAAATGTGAACACTGGTGGAGTTTAGGGAAAATAGACCTTGACAATTGGGAGTTGTAATTGCTGGGAGTTATAATTTACCTACAATCAAAGAGCATTCTGAACCCCACCAATGATAGATTGGGCCAAACATCCCACACAGAACCCCCATATTTTGAAGGGACTCCCTAGCGCAAGCCTCCTTCCATCTTTGCACGCTCTCCCTTGCCCGTACATGTGCTCCACGCTGGCATGCGCCAAGCACACCTGCTCTCCCCACTTAAGAGTATCAGAAACAGCCCTCCCCTTGGCTGCGAGGCTGGATGAGAGGCCGGCCAATCACAGTGGAGGAGGGCTTTTGGTGAGAGGATTTGCCCCATTTCCAAGGACAGGTTGAGAGATCTTCAGCTTTCTCTGTCAAAGGGTTTCCTATGACCATCAGAAATATATGTTTTCTGACAGTCTTTGGCAATCCCTCTGAAACCCCCTCACGACCCCCCCCCCCGGGTCTCGACCCCCAGGTTGAGAAATGCTGTCTTAAGACCTTAGATGTCTTAAACATAGATGGATTCAAAACATGCATCAGAAATCTCAAGTCATATTGCCAATAATACATGACTGTAAGAAATGAGTGTTCAGCTTAGCCAGTTTGAGGCTAGTCAGAAGTAAACTGTACTGGGTTTAATTGAATTTATTTGCAGGGAATTGTGTTTATATTGCAGCATAAACATTTGTTGTTGTTGTTGTTGTTGTTATCATTCATGAGACTCACTGCATGATTTTTTGGATGATCCATTTTTTTCAGTTATTTTGTTATCCCAGGTATAAACTACAGTAAAACGTTTACCTCTTTACGTATTAGCCTGAGTGCATTGTTTGGATGCCCCAATCTAATGCAACTTCTACCCTGCATTTTCTAGTAGCATAGATGGGTTCTGTCATATGTTCTGCAGTAGATGGTTGGTGATGGAAGGGTTAATGTATTAGTTCTAGAGGGTTTGGTAATCTGTAAGTGGGAGCATGCAAGAGATGGGTTGCAGCTGGGTGTTTCTGGATATAAGGAGCTAGCCTTGGCACTGATCTTTGGGAGAAAAGTATTTGTTGCATTTTGGTGATGGATGTTGTTGGTTCCCCCCCCGATCTGTTGGATTTTCGGAGTCCTGACCTGTTTCCTGTAATCTTGGAAACCTGGAACCTTGAACCTTTGGACTGGCTTCTGACTACTCTTGATCCCTGGACTCTGTTATTGAACTCTCGGCATTTGACCTTTGGACTGGACCCTTTTGACTATGAAGTTATTTTTGCTATCAGTTTTGTTTATTCTGTAGCTGCGTGTTATCTATGTGTTTTATATTTTGGACTATAAAAACAGCCAGCAAGTAAGTTCTGTTTTAATTAAACTGTTTGTTTTAACTGGGAGTTTTGATTCATCTCTACCTAAACAAGGTAGAGCCCTGACAACGTGACAGGTTCTTAAGTTTATGGACCCTTCCGGACAGGCCCTATCTCTGATCCCAGGTTTTCTGCTTTAAACTGGATTGTATGAGTTCGCACTGCCAGGAAATGGACCAATGAGATGTTATAGTTATGTTTAATTGATTGTTTATTATATCATTGTTTTTAACTGTTTTTAAAACTCTTTTTATGATGTTGAGCATTGAATTTTGCAATTGTTAACCGCTTTGCGTCGCCCAAGGGCTGAGAAAATCATTATATAAACGAAGTAAATAAATAAATAAATAAATAATCTGGGATAAACAGAAAACCTGGGATCAGGTCCTGGGATATAGGGCCTGTCTGGAAGGGCCCTACGAAATAAAGGAAAGGACAACAGCAACAATTTTTAGTTGTAGCAGAAGTGTCCAAATGGCGCAGGAGAGACAGACAGTTCCATGAAAGGATCAGTGGAGATGTTTTTTTGTTGTGGCTGCTTGGAGCTAAAGAAATTATCTTCCTCTTTCCAAACTATAATTTCAATGTGCCATCTTTTTTTTGTCATGGGAACAGAGGTGGCTGAAAGGTAAGTTTGGTGTGTGTTTCTTACTACCTCCAAAACAATCTTCTTCTTGGCAGCAAGGTGTAAGAGAGATTTATTTTTTGTCTCCAGGGATCGGGGACATAATGCTAAAAAGCAATTTCCCTTTCTATTTGGAATCCACATAAAAAGTAGGTCTTAACCAAAACATCACAGAAAAGAAGGTTTTATTATAAGGAGAGCTGTTTAGCATTTTCAGTGAGGCTATTTTTTAAAAAGATCAGTTTATCTTTTTGGCACAGGGTGAGATGGAAGGTGCTTTGTGCTGTGATCTTGCATCTCACATCACAAGACAACATCCAGTAGAAAAGGAAACTTGGAATAAATAAAAGGACGGAAATGCTGCAGCTGGATCGTAATCTCATTTAGTTTCCCCTCATGTTCCACTGAATTTATTCCCAATGTATCCATCTGATTGCAGACAGAGTTCTTGATCTCTCTTAGATTTTGACACAGACACATAGGTACATGTGTAGTCAAGGGTGACCCCCCTCCTGATAAATGATAATTTCATATTTTTCTTCCCCATAGGAGGACCCAAGTAGATAGGAGCCCCTTGGAAGCTTTATGTACCACAATCTGTATGTAAACCCTCCCAACCCATGGGGACCAGACTTCCAGTACAGCAGTGGTTCTCAACCTTCCTAATGCGACCCCTTAATACAGTTCCTCATATTGTGTTGACCTCCAAATTTTTTTTATTTTTGTTGCTACTTCATAACTAATTTTGCTGCTGTTCTGAATCGTAATGTAAATATCTGATATGCATGATGTATTTTCATTCACTGGACCAAATTTGGCACAAATATCCCATGCACCCAAATTGGAATACTGGTGGGGTTTGTCATTTGGGAGTTGTGGTTGCTGGGATGTGTAGTTCACCTATAATCAAAGAGCATTCTGAACTCCACCAACAATGGAATTGAACCAAACTTGGCACACAGAACTCCCATGACCAACAGAAAAGACTGGAAGGGTTTGGTGGGCATTGACCTTGAGTTTTGGAGTTGTAGTTCATCTGCAACCAGAGAGCACTGTGGACTCAAACAATGTTGGATCTCAACCAAACTTGGCACAAGTACTCAATAGGCCCAAATGTGGTGGAGTTTGGGGAAAATAGACAATGACATTTGGGAGATGTAGTTGCTGGGATTTATTGTTTACCTACATTCATAGAGTATTTTAAACCCCACCCTCTTGTGACCCCTCCAGGGGTCCTAACTCCCATGTTGAGGAACATTGCTATAGTGTCCCTTAGTGCATTTTGGGGCGGATTACCACAGGCTGGCATCCTTTTCAGCTGAAATTAAATATATACCTCGGTGGCTTCTGCTTCAACTTGATGAGATTTATTCTGGAATATTGGGTTCTTTTTCTCACCAGGCTTAACCCACAGTGGCTTGGATCTCACTATCCACTGCTATTTTAAATTTCTCAATAACACATGCACACATTTCTGTGATCAAAACCCAAACGTTTAAAAAGCAAACATCAGAAAGCACATACAATATATCAGTCCCGAGACTCCCCATTTACACTACAATTTTGGCTAATCCACAAACAAAATGAACATACTACAAAAAAACAAAGAAGTCATATAACCCCCCTTTAGATGGAAATATGAAAATATTTGAAGAAAAGCTCATTTCTTTCCAAGAGTTACACTCAAGATGTTCCAAGCATTACCTGTGTGTGTAGGTTGATGGAGGACTGGTTTGGGGAGTAAGGCCCTCCAAGGTCGTTCCTGAGTAGGTTGTCGCTGTGCATCTTAGTTTTGAGGCAGGTGATGTAACGATTACAAAAGTCTTTGCACAATTCATTCACCTTCTCTAATTCCAGTAGATGAATCCTCAGGACCTGAATGGCTTTCACCATCTAGAGATGATTAAATAAAGAGCAAACATCAAGCCACATCTAAAAAGCGTAAACGTTGAAAAGTTTCCCCCCTCTTTTGGCATGCAAAAGAGTGCACAATTTTATTTATTTATTTTTTTACTATACTTCTCAGCCTTATCGGCGACTCGAGGCGGTTTACAGCAATTCAGTACACATAACAACAAAATACAAATTGAACATTAAAACAGTATAAAACCACAATAGGAGCAATAAAAACAATAAAAACCAACATCATTACCATCAGTGTCTCCTAGTTAAATAACGCTGTCCAAGTTCCATTGTCGAGTGATTCCATTTCCTATGTTAGTTACTCTGCATTTGTAAATGCTTGCTCATATAACCATGTCTTAACTTGTCTCTGAAACATTAAGAGTGAGGGGGGCAATCTAATCTCCTTAGGGAGGGCGTTCCATAGCCGAGGGGTCACCGCCGAGAAGGCCCTGTCTCTCGTCCCCGCCAAATGTACTTGTGATGAAGGCGGGATTGAGAGCAGGTCCTCCCTGGAAGATCTTAAAGTCCTAGAAGGTTCATAAGGGGAGATGCGTTCGGACAGGTAAATTGGGCCAGGACCATTTAGGGCAGTGGTTCTCAACCTGTGGGTCCCCAGGTGTTTTGGCCTACAATTGCATGACCGCATCTCCGTATATGAACCCACGCGCTCCCTCCATTCATCCGGAGAGGCCCTGCTCACGATTCCACCTGCGTCGCAGGTTCGTTTGGTGGGGACGAGGGACAGGGCCTTCTCTGTGGTTGCCCCCGACTTTGGAACATCCTCCCCAAAGACATTAGACTAGCACCCACGTTGGCAGTCTTTAGGAAGAACTTGAAGACCTGGCTATTCCGATGTGCCTTTCCTGAATAGGATAACCTCCAGCACTACATCCCAGAAGCACTTTATTAGAGCTTAAGACTCTCTGCACATTGCACTTGCCCAGAATCCCAACGTATCACCTCTTACACCCAGCACTTTTTTAACCTGTACCCTTCATTGGCCCGGCCCTGGTTTTATTGCGTAATAGTGTAATGTTTTGTTGTTGTTATTGCTTATGTTTTTAATTTGCTTGCATTGTATTGTTATTGTCTGTGGTTGTTGTTTGAGGCCTTGGCCTTTGTAAGTCGCATCGAGTCCTTCGGGAGATGCTAGCGGGGTACAAATAAAGTTTAATAATAATAATAATAATAATAATAATAATAATAATAATAATAATACAATTCCCAGAAATCCGAGTCAGTTTACCAGCTGTTAGGATTTCTGGGAGTTGAAGGCCAAAACATCTGGGGACCCACAGGTTGAGAACCACTGATGTGCCCAGTAACAAACTGGCAGTGGAGCTGCTGCAGCAGAGGAATTGTATGCTCCCTGACTGCCACTCCTGTTAACAATCTGGCTGCCATCCGTTGGACTATTTGAAGCTTCCGGACAGTCTTCAAAGGCAACCCACATAGAGCGCATTGCAGTAGTCTATATGGGATGTGACCAGAGCGTGGACTACCATGGCCAAGTCAGGCTTCCTAAGGTACGGGTGCAGCTGGCGCACAAGTTTTAACTGTGCAAATGTTCCCCTGGTCACTGCCAAAACTTGGGGTTCCAAGGTCAGCGATGAGTCCAGGATCACTCCCAAACTGCAAACCTGTGTCTTCAGGGGGAGTGTAACCCCATCCAACACAGGCTGTAGCCCTATAAACACAAGGTTTTACAGTTCACTTGAGGAGTAGGGTATACTGATTTGCTGGAAACCGCCATGAGTCGCCAATTGGCTGAGAAAGGCAGTATACAAATACAGTAAGTAAGTAAGTAAATAAATAAATAAATAGGGTACCAGGCTTTTCCTTTGATGTCTCATCCAATGTGAATGCCCAACACTATAATAATAATAATAATAATAATAATAATAATAATAATAATAATTTATTTGTACCCTGCTACCATCTCCTCAAGGGACTCGGTGCGGCTTACATGAGGCCGAGCCCACAATACATCAATACAAGCAATAACAACAACAATAAAACAATTAAAATAAAACTCATAAACACTATCACATCAGCAGGTTGAAAAGCACCAGAAGCTCCGTTTGCAAAACATGACATTTCATTCCTCGAGTGCTTTTGAGAAGTGTTCTATGTAAAAGTCTTATTCTCATCTGGCCACTCTTCCTAACAAGATCGGAGAGTGGAAACATGCCTGTAAGCTCTCCCTTGAGCAAAGCCTTGGCCTCAGTAAAATATACCCCATAAACGTTCAAAAATTTACACATAAAACATTCCATGCATGGAACTGAGACCTTATGTTTTACAGCCCTGGCTCAAGATCCTGAATAATATATATAATCCTAGCTATTACACTGCAGGGCAGTAAATCAGTTTTTAAGAAATGCCACAGAGTCTTTAAATTTCAAAGCACCTTTTCAACTTGCTAATTTTAGTGGCCACTTTTACAAACTATTAGTCCCAGGGTGGCTACCTTGACTATACAAATAAACTAAATGTTCACAGGGATCTGTTCAGCAGAACAGCCATTAGACTTTGCACACAAAGGAATAGATCCACTTTTGGTCCTTGCTGGTGGATGTATATCTTTAAAAATAGCAGAATCACCTCTGGAAAACTCTACTGAGCCAAACTTGGTTTATAGCGGCATTTGTTTCTCCGAATGGACTATGAAAGCTTGCCTAACCAAATCACATAGAAAGCAGGAGAAAAGGGCACAGAGGAGGGGAGGGGGATAGTTGATAAACACACCAAGGAAAAGGTTAATAGAAGCACAGCAATCCAGGGGCAAACAGAGGGCACATCCCTCCTGCTCCTACACCTCCCCATGAGGATTCGTGAGATTAAAGTTATGGTGCCACTGTTGAGCGTCCCCTTCCACCACCACCTCCCTCCCGCTGCAAAAAAAAAAAAAAAAAAAAAAGGTCTACGAAGGCTACTTCAGTTGCAGCTTGGGTGAGGATTTTTTTTTCATGTGAGCCGGCAAAACACGTCTATGAGTCATTGCTGTGAACAAAAGGGAGAGGGAAGTGAGGAAGGGAGGGAGGAGGAAGGAAGAGAAGAAGGGAGGAAGTAAGGATCTAGAATAGTAGTTCCCAACCTGTGGTTCGTGGACTGCCAGTGGTCCGTAAGAACTAAAATATGGCCTGCAGCCTCACCGTTACTACACCGGTGCAACGAGAGCAACTGGTCTCATGAAACCCTCTTATAGTGGTCCACGCTCTCGTTACATCTAGGATAGACTACTGCAACACACTCTATGTGGGGTTGCCTTTGAAGACTGCTCAGAAGCTTCAAATAGTCCAACGAGAGGCAGCCAGGTTAATAACTGGAGCTGTGTACAGGGAGCATACAACTCCCATGTTATGCCAGCTCCACTGGCTGCCAGTTTGCTACCGGGCACAATTCAAAGTGCTGGCTTTGGCCTATAAAGCCCTAAACGGCCCCGGCCCAAATTACCTGTCCAAATGCATCTCCCCCTATGAACCATCACAGAGATTAAGATCCTCCGGGGAGGCCCTGCTTTCCGTCCTGCCATTGTCACAGGCATGATTGATGGGGACAAGAGACAGGGCCTTCTCGGTGATTGCTCCCGGGCTATGGAACTCCCTTCCTGGTGAGATCAGGTCAGCTCCCTCCCTCCTGTCCTTTAGAAGGATGGTAAAAACTTGGCTGTGGGACCAAGCTTTCAGGACAGGGCAATGAAGCGGCAGTGGGAAAGATGACAGGGCCAATTGGATTTCATATGGATGGCTAGGACAGTTTTAAATGGTGTATTTTAATATTTTGATAAATGTTTTTTTAATGTTTATGTATTGTATGTGAATTTGTGTTGTTTGCCATGTATATGCTCTGAGTCCCCTTCGGGGTAGGAAGGGCGGAATATAAATGTTTAAATAAATAAATAAATAAATAAATAAATAAATAAATAAATAATGCTGAGGCTTATTAAATATGGCTTTCTGTGGGTGAGCAGATGGCAACTACTGCATGTCATATGTTCTGTACCAGAAACTAGAGCTGATGTGGTCTATCCAATGCAATTATCTGAACCAGCACCTCAAATAACCAAACCAAGTCTAAAGTTGACCAAAAACTGATTCACAATCCTTTTGGTACTATAGTTGACCATTCAACTCATCTGTTTGTCTCCATCTACAGTTGTCCTCATGATGCACTTTCCCCTGTCCTTAATAAAGGTCAAACCCCACTGCTCCTCCTTCTTGGGCTCCCCCCTCATAATTACACTTTTTCTATTCCTATCTCACCCAGGGCTTTAACATGTTAATATTTTATCTCATGCATCTGGCCTTTCCTTTGTGTTTGATTTTATTATGTTACTAGCCATCCCCTGCCACGTGTTGCTGTGGCTCAGTCTGTGTATATGTGTTTTCTGTGTATATATATGCGTGTGTGTATATATTTGTGTATATGTGTGTTTGCCTATATATATGCGGTTTTGTACATGTGTTGTAATGTGTTTTTTTGGCTTTTTAAGTCTGTGTTTTTCCATGTTTTTATGAATGATGGTCACTCGTTGGCCTGATATGTGTATTGTGTCCAAATTTGGTGTCAATTCGCCCAGTGGTTTTTGAGTTATGCTAATCCCACAAACGAACATTACATTTTTAGTTATATAGATTTTGCACTGTTTATTTTGTTATTTTATGTATTTTGTTGTGATGAAATTTTTCTGTTGTTGTGTGTCTAATTATACTGTATTGTTTTTGGGCTCGGCCTCATGTTAGCTGCCCTGAGTCCCCTTCAGGGAGATGGAATCTGGTTATAAATAAAGATGATGATGATGATTATTATTATTATTATTATTATTTACAGTTGGAGAGTGGTCCCTGGTCAAGCGGTCCCTGGTCAAAAAAAGGTTGGGAACCACTGATCTAGAGGGAGTAAAATGAAAGTGTTAGGGGGGTGAATGAAGATTCAGAGCAGCCTAAAGAGCACTTCCAAACCATGGCAGGAAATGTCTGTGTCAG